CTGCGCTCCATCAGGACCAAAACCTCTCTCCACCTGAACAGTTTCTATTATTTTTAATATTTTTCTAGTTCACTACCTGTGTTTTTAATTCTTGTTTTTATGCACCACGACACCAAGTCAAATTCCTCGTACGTGTAAACCCACCTGGTAATAAACCTGTTTCTGATTCTGATTGCTTTTATCTGGTAGTTAGTGAGAAAAGTACAAGTAGGATTTTTTTCTTCATTCATTTATAATCTGAACTAGTGTTGCACGGTGTACCGATACTTGAAAGGTACCGCGATACCCTGCCGTTAAAAACGTTACGATTCCTCCGTTTCATTAGTATCTGTACTTTAAGAATGACGGGGAAAAGTACTCCGGTGAGAAAGCGCTGTTTTAATAAGAGCCGTGTGTGTTCAGCGCTCTGCTTCCACTCCCTGCACTGCAGCCGTGCCTGCAGTGCCTCCCCTCTCATGCACGCGCTAGCTGCCAGAGCATGTGAGAAAACGAGAAGCATGGCTGCAAGTGGGAGTGCAACTGCCGCTGCGCTCGACTTGTTGACAAAAAAGACGCCAGAAGCGAAATTTGGAAGTATTTGAGCTATATCTCTGACAGTGAGGGCAAGCCTACGGACACCACGAGGCCTGTCTGTAAGACATGTTTTAGATCCCTGCAAACCAAGGGAGCCAACACATCAAACTTGGCTAAGCACCTCGCCGACCGGCATCCAGAGCTGTTTAAAGACAGACAGGTTAGCGAATGTGATAGATAACATAATTACATCATGCTCAAGCCCTTGCCCTCAAATCTAAGTCAAACAAGTGTCATTTATTTTGTGACAAACGAACGTTTTCGTAGTTTGACGAGGCAATTAATGGCAATGATAACTGTCTAATATGGCTATCTTTTTAGCTAACTTACCAATGTGGCTAACATCTGCAATGTACATTTTGTCAATAATTATTTATATTACTGTACTATTACATGTTAATAAAATATAAAGTTAACTATCAAAGAAATCACATAAACTCAAGTATAAAGAAGAGACCATGTTATAAGAAAACACTTAACAGATAAACTACAATTTTACTGATCATGAAAATAATAAAAGAAAAGTATCGAAAAAGAATCGGAATCGCAATTCTTGACTTGACTATTTGTAACCATTTGGTATCGGTATCGAAACCAAAATATTGGTATCGTGACAACACTAATCATTTATGAACTGTGGAGTCACAAACATATTCATTTAAAAGCACATTATGAAGAGTTAATAAGGACAGTAGTAAATAGAATTTCAGAACATGGTTGTATAAAGGGAGTTCTGATATCTGTTGGGGAGAGGAAGAAAGTAATTTTGAATCTCACCTCTTGCTCTATGGCACCTTTGGACAGGATATTACTTTCTGCTGCTCAGAGGTATACATTTCCTTTCTTGGGCTCATCTAGAGATTGGAGACCCAGCAGCTTCTTTTCTCACAGAGACAGTATTACATATTCCTTTATACCATTGAACCAGAAGTCTTTCTCGCTCTTTTTTACACACGTATGGCAGTTTAATTTTCTTTATTGCAAGGAAGGCATTTGTACAAATGTGGCTGCAAATGAGATCTGAAAACATGCTGAGATATAAATAGAACAATGCCTTGTTGGGGCACCCACTTTGTTGGTAACGGAGTCAAGAGGTCCTTCACTATCAGCCAGTACAGGCTCTCATCCATGTCCGTATCAGAGGGTCTTCAAAGTTGAGCACGGCTCAGGAATACATCTGAAAAATCCAGCATCATGCAGGAGCAGGGGTGATATTTTAAACCTGAAAGTGGTTACCTACTTTTCAAACTATAATTTGCATCACTGTCAGATATTAGTATTTATTTAGTGTAATTACTTGATGGTTGGGATAATGGAGTACAGCTGTCTCACATTAGTGTAACTATGGTATTGTGGTACCTAAATGCAGAAGCTTTGAGGCTATGGTAGTGTTCCCTTCCTCCAAAATCAAACTAAATGTCAGAGAAAGGGTTATGTGGAGTTCATAATAAAGGCATACCAGAGCAATTAAATAATGTAACCAAGTGAACCTGTTACCCAAGTCATCAAACATGTGCTGTTCATTTCAGATGTGTTTAAAGCATGGAGTTTAAGAGTTGTTCCCTTTCTCAGAAACATTGAGGCAAAACCTGCCTCATCATGTCTGCAATATTTATTTAAATGTCAACAAATTGGCACCATTACAATTATGGGAAATTAGCTAAGCCGTTCCTTTCCTCATGGATAAACTATATCCTGAATATATAAGAAAACCTAAACATGTCAGGAGTCATCATCATCATCATCACATTGCATTGTAGAAACTGAAAGAAAAGTATTTCTAGCCTTTTTTCCCCTCTTAAAGGTAGGGTAGGTAAGTTTGAGAAACCGGCTCGAGATCGCTAGAATTTGAAAATACACAACCAGAGAAAATCTGCCACTTCCTTATAGAGCCCCTCCTCCAACACACACGAACGCGCACATGACCAATGAGGGCACGAGATAAGTTTGTGCACAGATGGAAGGCTGACAGGCAGGTAGGCCATCCAGTTATTTTAGCCGGGCCGGCTAAAATGATTGGTCGTGCTTTTTACAGTATTACGGCTTCCACAGATGACGTTTTTTTATGGATTTATCGTCAAAGCACTTAAGATATTCATTGCTATCGGGATGTTAAGAGCATTCCATGGAATATAACAAAAAGTGTATCTCGAGCCGGTTTCTCAAACTTACCTACCCTACCTTTAAATGTATACTTCTGGGGCCTCATTTATAACGCCTTGCGTAGGATTGACGTGGGAAGGTTGCTTACGTAGTACAAAGCAAAAAAATAGGTACAGACATTTTCCGACATTTTCCGATTCACAAAACATTGCGTACCGGCGAGGGAAGTGCGTACGGCACTTCCTACGCCTGTTTCCCTTTATAAATCACAATCGACTCGTAACGCCCATATTTGCCTATAAATAGTCAAAGAAACGCCCATTCATTCATTCATTGTGACTGACTGCATGAAGAAGATCGCAGGAAATTACGACAGAACAGCTAAAAAATCTCACACCGTGTCAGATTTTGGTTATTGTGGGGAGGTCGAGATAAATCATATTGTTTGGTGGATGCAGTTTGAACCAGAGTAGCAGCATGGAGGTCGGATCGTAACCAAAATAAATAAATAAGTGGTCTGAAAAAAGTTAATGACAAAAAAATACACATAACCTTCCTCAGGCAGTGTGTTTGTACCGGGGACATGAGACACCCCCTTGATGAGAAACTGTAAGAAATGATCGGGGAATCCCTCCGGAGTGGAGTCATGACGACTGGATCTGAATTATTTTGTTGTATTTGGTGGTTTGTGTTCCAGCTGTCGATCAGCAACTATATATCCATAATCCACCAGTTAAAGGAAATACAACTAATGTGTTGTGTTATATTAGCTGTACAATTTACCACATAGGTGTTCTTAGTTTCCATACCTCCTGTGTTTTACGAGCGACTTATCAAGTCTTGGCAAACGGCATAAAACACGATTAAACGTGATAGTATATAAAACCATGCTCGTATCTACAACCTATAGAAATGCAAAACGGCGTCAGTTTAGACGTAATTCTGTCCTCCTGCTTACCGCATCATTTATGAGAAAACATTTCATAACATTAACACAACATATTCGAGGTGGTTTTAAATAACATATCCGTATTTATTTATTTCTCCAAGTTATGTGTTTGTGTGCACTGAGGAGTCTCAAACAGGCGTTTGTTTAATCATTTTAAGATTGGCTTTAATCAATGTTTGAAAATGAATTCTTCATATTTGATAAATGAGGTAACATTTTATTTATGGTATTATTTCCACATATTTCTCTTCATTCTTCCTTCTGCCAACGGTGTCGCAGTTTCTCGTCTCTCCCGTTGTTGTGCTTAGTGCGTTCGCATTGGTTAGAGTTTGCATGGAGGACCGCACATTTTCCCGTCAAGTTAGTATTTTATAAATCGCAAACATTGCGGAGAAACTGGCGTACGCCATTTTTTGAGCGTATATCCCTTTATAAATGAGGCCCCTGGTCTCTAGATACGTTGCCTTCCAAAAAGCCTGCATGCTTTCATTGAGCCTACGGTCATGCTTATATGCTTAAAATCTCTTATCCTGATCATAACCTGCTACAAAGTAGGTCAAGTAAGTGATGAATCAAATATAGGCTTTCCCCATCCTTAGCCTAACCTGCGCATATGCCCACACAAGGACATATAGGACATATAAAACACATAGTAGAGAAATTAACTTAAAGGGGACCTATCATGCAAAATGCACTTTTGTACGTCTTTTATACATGAATATGTGTCCCCGGTGTTCCAGGGAACTCACCAAGTGTCAGAAAACACAACCCTCTCTATTTTCCTCCATACCCAAATCTCTAAAAAAGGGGCTGCAACGGATCTGATAAAAACTGATCCAGATTTGAACACTGTCCTGACGTCAGGACAGTGGCGCTACGGCTATTGGGCCAACTCCACCAATCAGGAGGAGACAGCCACGGCCATTGCCGTTCGAAAGCGCTGGAGACGCTGTAGTACATATGCCAGGCCTGTAGATGGTGCTGTTCTCACAGAATCTGCCCTTGCAAAAACAGAGCTAAAAAATGTCAAATTGAGCAAAATGAGGCATGGCTAAAATGCATGATCTGTTTGGTATTTTGAAAAAGAAAAAGTATAAATATGCCTTATAGGTATGGTCCTACACTATATTATTCAATATAGCATGATAGGTCCACTTTAAATCTGTATTCACTAGGGGTGTTGAAAATAATCGTTTCTACGATGCATTGCGATGCGGACGTGGACGATTTGGTTTCGATGCAGTGACGGAAGATAACCGATTATTCACGTGATAGATTTTCCGGCAGCAGCTGGACAATAAAGTTTTTTCTTCTTTTTTTAAACGTCACGGTAGCAACGTAGCATTGCATTGTGGGTTACCGAGCTAGTGCAATAATGGAGGGAGGCGAAAGCAGTGTGCAAATAATAAAAAACGCTCCTAGTGTTCTGAAAGCAGACATCTGGACCCATTATGGGTTTTATGAACTAAAAGGGAAAAGTGAACTGGACAAGTCGCACGCTGTGTTTAAAGTGTGTCACACAAAAATAAAATACCTTGGTGGAAATACCACTAACTTGAGGAACCACCTTAGCCGTTTTCACTGTGAGAAGCTAACGCCTGCCACCAAGAAAACAGCGGAGCCAGCCCAGCGAAGAATTGATGAGGCGCTGTCAACTTTTCCGCCCAACTCTGAGAAAGCGAAGAAAATCACCCAGTCGGTGGCAGCTTTCATAGCGAAGGACCTACGTCCTTATTCGGTCGTGGAAAACACCGGTTTTCGCCACCTGTTAAAGACGCTGGAGCCACGGTATAAGCTCCCATCATGTAGCCACTTTACAGAAAATGTCATACCTGCACTCTACAACGGAACCAAAGCCCAGGTAATGGCGTCAATGATCCAAGCTAAAAGAGTTGCCATAACATGTGATGCCTGGACTTCTGTCGCGACGGAGTCGTATTTAACAGTAACGGCACATTACATCAGCGAGGACTGGCAGTTTTTGTCGCATGTGCTGCAAACGAGAGCTGTTTACGAGTCTCACACAGGTGCGCATGTTGCGGAGCTACTGTCTCGTGTAGTGGAAGAATGGCAGCTATCAGACAAAGATGTAGTGCTGGTGACAGACAACGCTTCTAATATGATCGTTGCAGCTGAATTCGGAAAATTCCCTCATGTTAAATGCTTCGCCCATACACTGAATCTTGCGTCCCAGCGGGCGCTTAAAGTGGCCACCCTCTCCAGGCTTCTGGGTAGAGTCCGACGGATTTCCACATTCTTCCACCGCAGCACTACAGCGAACCACTATCTGAAAGAGAAACAGAAATGTCTGGGCCTGAAAAATCATAAACTGATAACTGATGTTGCCACAAGGTGGAACAGTGCATACGACATGGTCGAGAGGTTCTTGGAACAACAACCTGCAATATGTGCCACCTTGCTGTCTCCAGAGGTGAGAAAAGGACAGTCAGACCTCTGCACTCTTAACGAAACAGATGTGTCAAATGCAGAGGACGCTGTGAGTGCATTAAAGCCAATGAAGGATGCAACCACTCTGATGTCAGAAGAGAGCAATCCAACAGTGTCTCTCATTGCTCCAATAATTGCACAACTCTTCCAGGACATGACAGGCACCATTGGAGACTCACCGATGATCCACGCGATCAAGAATGCCATCAAAACAGATCTCCTGAAGAGGTACAACGGTGAGGCAGAAAAGAAGATCCTTCATACAGCCTCTGCCCTGGATCCCCGTTTTAAGGGACTGCCTTTTCTAACAGTGGAGGAGAGATTGGAGATCTACAGAGGAGTGACTGAGGAGGCTGCATCCTTGGAGGTAATTTCACCATGTTTCATGTAAACTTATAAAATAAAAACAAACTTTACAATATTAATAATAGTAGCTACAATGAGTGAAAACTTTTTATAAGACTGAAGAATAGAATAGATGTGAGCTGTTGCATTGACTGAGAAAGTGCTAACTGCTATTTTAATGGTATTTTCTATTCTTTTGTTCAAACATAGAATGAGAGGACACTCAGGAGGACAGAAGTGACTGAAACACTGGAAGAAGAAACACCGGACGGCCCCTCTGCTCCCAAAAGAAAGGCCTCATCATCACTGCTCGTGAGTTTGCTGGGACGGTCTTTCACTGATACTGAAGGTACAGCAGAACCCAAGACCCCCTATGCCAGTGCTGAGGAGGAAATAGAGAGATACTGTAAAGCATCATCTCTCCCTCTGACTGAGGACCCTTTGAACTGGTGGCGTGTCCATGAGATCACATTTCCCCTCCTCTCCCGGGTGTCAAAGCGATACTTGTGTATCCCAGGCACAAGTGTGTCTGCAGAGCGAGTTTTCTCCACTGCAGGAGATGTGGTCACTGCAAAAAGAAGCACTCTCAAACCAGAACATGTGGATCAACTAGTGTTCTTGCAGAAGAACCTACACATTCCCAAATGCTGAGCAGTGTGTCATGTTTTTGTTGTTTGGCACATTCAGGAAGTGCCCTGTGCCCAGTGCTGCTATTTGAAAACATTGTTGTAGATTACAGCACAGCAGAATGTTTTGTTTTTGAGGATTTACCTTTTTTTACACTATAGGTAGGCCAGGCCTATACTATTTATTTCATTTCAATTTAATAAACATTTTGATATGATACACATGGTAGTTCAATGCTACCTGTTGTCACACTCATAATGATGTTTGGCACTTTTAGGATGTGCCATGTTATAGAGCAGAAGACAAAGAAGTGGTTTAATCGATTTGTAATGCACTTTCTATAGAATAAAAAAAGTTAATATGTATCTGACTGATTGTATTCATTGATGAAAAAGTATCCATACAGTAATATTGAAAATTGAAGATGCAACGCATTGTTATGCATCGTGATGCACCGTAATGCACCAGGATATCGAACCGAATCGAATCGTTGACAGGATAATCGTAATCGAATCGAATCGCGAGACCAGTGAAGATGCACAGCCCTAGTATTCACTCAGCAGAATATTGGCCTTTCACTCCCTTCATCAACCAACATTCCTTTAAAGTCAACACAGTTTTTGACATAACGTTTTTGTATCATAAAACGTGATGTAATTTGTAAATCTAAATGTTGGTTTAATAATTAGACATACAATGATACGAATAATAACATAGGGATACGGGTTACCACTTTGAGGTGGTGCTGGATCAAAGTGTGTTTAATGTCCAAATCCAAAGAAAGTGGAGCGATAGTATTTGCATCCTCTGGCAAATTTATAAGAATAAAAGAAATAATGTCAAATATAATTTATTGTGTAAAAAGCCTATTTTGTCTTGAGGGGAGGCAAGAGGGATAGTATGGTGATTTGGTTTTTCTGGCCATTACTTTTGATGTTACATACTCTCTTGTGAATAAAAAAGTATATTAGCAAAATGTAGGAAGGATAGATGGAGACATTGATTGCTCTCCATCATTAAAGCCTTAGGCAGGCAAAACATATCTTAAATTGTACGCATAATCCATGTGTATATAATCCAGCTCTGCTTCAGATTCCCCACAGAACAAATGATCTGAGGGGGAATGTTTGCAGAGTTTGGAGCAATGTTTACCTGGTTGGTTCTATTTCACACAGGCTCCGCCCTCTACTGGACTCTATGGGTACTACTCTCATCAATGATACGCGAGCGTTCACACACTGAAGTTTTATAAACGTAGCCGGCCAATCGGGGCGAGCCTACCTGAATGCGCGCGCAGGCCCACAGTATATAAGGCGGCTACGCCTCCTGACTGTCATATTTTTCTCTTCAGCGACAACACCTGACAGAGAAAAGTAAAACATTTGAAAGAAGAAGAAAGAAGTTATCATACCTTCATGGAGTCGCCACTTCTAGAGACCCGGGCCTGTCCTTCGTGCCCTGGCTTAATAGCGGGCGCTGGTCCCCACCACCTCTGCTTCGAGTGTTTGGGGGACCAGGATATGGCCGAGGCGGTGCCATTCACGTTCGCCATTCCAGCGGGGCGGATGGCTCCGTTTGCCGGGGAGGAGGATGAAGAGGACTTCTCGTCGTCGGGCACTTCCGGGTCCGTCGTCCATGGAAGTCCACCGCCCAGGTCTGTCCGCCAGGACTTCCCCCTGGTGATGACCATGGCGGCGGAGCGTGTAGGGCTATCGCCTCAGGGTGCAGGGCCGCACGGACACAGCGTGTCCCGGCGTGCCCCCCCTTGATGAGAGCCTGGCAGCCCATCTGCTCCCACAGGCAGCAGGCTGGGCGGAGAAGCTCTGCCCCGCTGCCACGTGACAGGGCGGCTGCAAATAACACGGGTGTGTTGGGCGTCTCGCTGATTGCTCTTCCACAAGATGCCCCCACCTCACCGGATCAGAGTGATTATTTGGCCGCAGCATCGGCCAAATTAATATCCTGGTCCACAGTGTGGGCGCCGCTGCTTGCCGTGTGATGTCCCTGGCCACAGTGGGATCACGCCGCGTGGCACTTTCCAAAAAAAAAACCTGAGGTGGTGAAGCAGATCTGGGCCCAGTTCGGGAAAGCGTAGGCGGACCTGTTCGCCAACCGGCGCAACAGCCACTGTACCCTATGGTTTTCCCTGGCTCGGCAGGACAATCCACTGTGGGGGTGGACGCGTTTGCACACGAGCCATGGGCGAGAAAGCTGCTCTACGCCTTTCCACCGCTGCGTCTCATTCTCCCCCTCCTGGAGAGGGTGAGACGAGAACGATTGTCAGCCATCCTGGTAGCCCCAGGTCGCCGCTCGGCGCCGTGGTACGCAGAGGTGACACAGATGATGGTGGGCCAGCCCTGGACAGTTCCTCAAGTCTGGGGGGCGTTGTCTCAGGAAGCAGGTGCAACCTCTCCAGGCTGGGCTCCTGAGAGGGACAGGCTGAGACGGGGTGGACAGTCTGACAAGGTTATTCAGACTGTCCAGGCAGCAAGAGCAGGATCCACCACAGCCTGTTACAGGACGAAGTGGTTGGGATTCCAGCAATGGTGTGAAGAAAGGAGTCTAGAGCCTCTATCCTGTACGTTGGGCTCTATTCTGTCCTATTTACAGATACTGGTGGACAGGGGGCTTGCTCATTTCACAATTAAAGTGTATGCAGCAGCCATTTCGTCCTGCCATGAGGGATTTGGCGGCAGGTCAGCCTTCAGTCAGCCGCTTATGACGCGGTTTTTGCAGGGGGTCAGGAGACAGCGCCCAGTGGTGCATGTCTCCACCCCGCAATGGGATCTGCCGTTGGTGCTCGAGGCTTTGGTCACAGAACCATTTGAGCCTCTGGAGCTCATTGAAAACAGCTTTGCTGCTTGCCTTGACTTCGGCCAAGAGTAGCCTTTATTTGGGTGAAATCCCATTGAGATCAACAGTAAGTGAAGGCAGACCTGCCCTGGCATACAGGTTACAGTGATGAGTAAGTACTTTACAGTTAGTAACAAATCTCAGCGCACTGTGATAGGCGGCATCTAACTTGATCAGGTAATGGGCAGGTGCATTCATATAGATCAGATCCCCATAGTCCAGCACAGGTAAAAAGGTCACAGAGACTAGTCTTTTCCTGGCCTCAAGCGAGAAACAGGACTTGTTTCTGAAAAGGAAACCTAGCTTCACTTTCAGCTTTCTTAGCATATTATTGACCTGAAGTTTAAAAGAGAGACAATCATCAAGCCAGATACCAAGGTATTTATAACAGGTAACCACTTCGAGTACTTTTCCTTGTGCAGTAACAATATCCAAAGCCGTCTCCGGTGTCTTTTTGGCTTTTGAAAATAGCATTACCTTATTTTTTTATCAACATTTAAAAGAAGCTTAAGCTCAGAAAGCTGAGTCTGAATAACATTAAAAACAGCCTGCAATTTAACAACAGCCTCCTTAATGGAGGGACCTGCACAATACATCACGGTATCGTCCGCATAAAAATGTAAAGTTGCTTCATCCACATTTTGACCTAAACTGTTGATATAGATGGAGAATAATAGCAGACCTAAAACAGAACATTGTGGTACACCATTTGTAATGTTTAACCACTCAGAAGTGAGTTCATCACAATGAACACATTGGGACCTTTCAGATAGGTAGTTCACAAACCACCCCACTGCATGGCTGGATATGCCAATACTGGCCAGCCTCTGCTTCAGGATATGATGATCGATGGTATCGAACGCTTTGGAAAGATCAATAAACAGAGCTGCACAACTCTGCTTTTTGTCTAAGGTACCCGCAATATCATTCACCACTTACATTGTCGCAGTGATGGTGCTATGTTGCTTTCTGAAACCTGACTGATGTTTACATAGGATGTCATTTTTACATAAAAACACCTTTACCTGCTCACTCACTAGGCTTTCAAGAACCTTGGCCAGAACTGACAATTTAGAGATGGGCCTATAATTATTTAATAAAGTGGCCTCCCCACCTTTTAGTAAAGGCAGGACATAAGCCGACTTCCATACTTTTAGAATTGTGTTTGTGCTGAGGGAGAGGTTAAAAAGAGAAGTAAGAGGTGGTGCAATAAAATCTGCAGCTATCTTTAAAAAGAAAGGTTCTACGTTGTCCGAACCAGCCGGTTTCTTAGGATCTAACTTGGTTAAGGCTTCATGAACGACTTCAATAGTAAAAGGAGAAAAACTGAAAGGGTTTTCCAAACCACGTTTTTCAGAGTCACGGACTGTGGTGTTCACAGTAGCAGAGTTAGTAACAGTATCAAACAGAGAGCCACAGGACACAAAATGCTCATTCAAACAATTTAACATAGTGGCCCTGTCCGATATAGTGCCAGATGCTGTGGTAAGGCAAAGAGGTAGCTCATTACGGATTTCACCGGT